TTGAAATCTTTGGGGATATTCCAAATGTCTTTCTGTTACTTATTTCTAATCCAATTTTGTGGGATCAGAGAACATAATTTACATGATTTCAATTCCCTTTTTTTTTTTTCAAGACGGAGTCTTGCTGTGTCACCCAGGCTGGAGTGCAGTGGTGTGATCTCGGCTCAATGCAACCTCTGCCTCCAGGATTCAAGCGATTCTCCTGCCTCAGCATCCCCAATAGCTGGGATTACAGGCACACGCCACCATGCCCAGCTAATTCTTGTATTCTTAGAAGAGATGAGGTTTTACCATGTTGACCAGGCTGGTCTCAAACTCTTGATCTCGTGATCCGCCTGCCTTGGCCTCCCAAAGTGCTGGAATTACAGGTGTGAGCCATCGTACCCGGCCCAGATTTCAATTATTTTACATTTGTTAAACTTTGTTTTATGGTACTTTGAATGTGGTTTATCTTGCTAAATGTTTCATACACACTTGAAAATAAGGTGTATTCCACCACATTATGGAGGCCTTGTCTTCCGAATGTCCAGTGGTTGCCCTGGATGATAATGTTGCTCAGGTCCACTGCATCTTTATTTTCTGCTTACCTGTTCCAGCAATTACTGACAGAGGAGTGTTAAAGTCTCCGCCTGTAATTGTGGGTTTGATGGTTTCTCCTTTCAGTGATGGCAGGCTTGCTTTATATATATTAGGTGCATATACGTTCAGAATTATAGTATTCTTGATAAATGGAAACTTTTATCCTAACAAATTATTCTTCTTTATCTCTGGTAATATCCCATGCCCTGGCATATATTTTGCCAGATATTAATATAACTACTAAAGTTTTCTTATGATTAGTGTTTACATGGTATATCCTTTTCCGTCCTTTTTACTATGCCTTTATAGTTGTATATTTATGTATATTTATGCCTGGGCAATATAGAAGATTCTGTCCTACAAAAACATTTTTTTTTTTTTATTTTTTGAGACAGAGCCTCACTCCATCACCCAGGCTTGAGTGCAGGGGCACAATCTCAGTTCACTGCAACCTCCACCTCCTGGGTCCAAGCAATTTCTCGTGCCTCAACCTCTCAAGTAGCTGGAATTACAGGTGCGCACCACCACACCTGGCTAATTTTTGTATTTTTGGTAGAGATGGGTTTTTGCCATGTTGGCCAGGCTGGTCTCAAACTCATGACCTCAAGTGATCCACTCACCTCAGCCTCTCAAAGTGCTGGGATTATAGGCATGAGCCACCATGCCTGGACTCTACAAAAAATTAAAAATTAGCTGAGCACGGTGGCCTGAGCCTGTGGTACCAGCTACTCAAAAGGCTGAAGTGGGAGGATCGTTTCAGCCCAGGAGGCAGAGGTTGCAATGAGCTGAGATCACACCACGGCACCCCAGCCTGGATGACAGAGTGAGACCCTGTCTCAAAAAATGATAATGATAATAATAAGGGGCATATCTTGTATAACTGCATAACATGTAACTATTATATGTATTATGTTTATAATTTTTTTTTTGAGATGGAGTTTTGCTCTTGTTGCCCAGGTTGGAGTGCAGTGGTGCCATCTTGGCTCAGTGCAACATCCACCTCCCGGGTTCAAGTGATTCTCCTGCCTCAGCCTCCCAAGTAGCTGAGATTACAGGCATGTGCCACCGTGCCTGGCTAGTTTTTATATTTTCAGTAGAGGCAGGGTTTTGCCATATTTGGCGAGGCTGGTCTCAAACTCCTGACCTCAAGTGATCCACCTGCCTGGGCCTCCCAAAGTGCTGAGATTACAGGCGTGAGCCACCGGGCCTGGCCTATAATTTTACAAACATAATAATTTTGTATAATGAAGGCATATTTGTGTATTTAAATTTTTTAAAAATAAGGTCATATAATCTCCGCCTTTTTATTGGAGTATTTAGACCATTTATATATGATGTAATAATTAAGAGTGCCTCTGCCCAGCTGCCAACCATCTGGGAATTGAGGAGCCCCTCTGCCTGGCCACCGCCCCGTCCGGGAAGTGAGGAGCGCCTCTGCCTGGCCACCGCCCCGTCCGGGAAGTGAGGAGCCCCTCTGCCTGGCCACCGCCCCGTCCGGGAAGTGAGCAGCACCTCTGCCCGGCCACCAACCGACTGGGAAGTGAGCAGCGCCTCTGCCTGGCCACCAACCGACTGGGAAGTGAGGAGCTCCTCTGCCCGGCCTCCCTGTCTGGGAAGTGAGGAGCGCCACTGCCCGGCTGCCCACTGTCTGGGAAGTGAGGAGCACCTCTGTCTGGCCGCTGTGCAACCTTCCAAGTGTGAAGTGACAGCCTTGTGTGTGATCTTTTCTGTCTTCCCCAAGTTTGAATTTTCGACATTAAAGTTTACTTTATAGTTAAAAATAATAATAACAAAAATAA